TCAGCGCCGTCGCCGCCTCCGCCTCCTCGAGGGCGTCCCCAGACATCCAGTGCCCTTAACAAAAATCGGAACTGCAGTTTCCCGAACAAAATCGAGACGGACGCTTTTGCCTCCGTTTCCGGTCTCCAGGGGCCCTCGCTGGGCCCCAAGGGCGTCAACGAACCGGCGCAGGATGGAACGCCCGCCCTGGGGAACGGGTCGGGACCTCGGGGGGACCTCGTGCTGAAAACGTCAAGACGCCGCACGTCTGGGCCTCGAGGGCGTCCTCCGCTCCGAGGAGCCGCTGCTGCTGGACGAGGGGCTCGCCACAGGCCGCCACGGCGCCGCCGCGGCCGCTGCTCCGGCGCCGCCGCGGCCGCCCTTGCCACCGATGGCGTGCGCTCCGTCGAGGACGTTCTGGATGCGGCTCAGGACGGCCGTGACGGGGTTCCGCACGTTCTGCACGTAGATGCCGGGGGCGATGACGGCGGCGCGCTGGTCAGGGGTGAGGGCCCAGAGCTTCTCCTCGCAAGACGTGTCGAGGCCGTTGAGGTCTATGAAGATGGCTGTCAGGTCGTTTGGGTCTGCCACCGCGCGAACGCGGCTCATGACCACTCCAGACGGGTTCCTGACACCGCTCATGTTCCCCAGCTCCTTCAGGACCGCCTGCCTGAGATCAAGGAGTACCAACATCAACATACCCTCTCGGAGGTCCGCGCGGTCTTCTTCTTGGATCGGCACTGTCCCCCCCCATGGTTGGCGCCTCCGACGCTGCCCCTTGCGCGTTTCGCGCGCCAGGGTGGGGGTCCAGCGCCGATCCAATAATTCTGCGCGGGTCCCCGGAAGTTTGGGCTGATCTAGCCTTTTCTCCTTCGATGCCTCTGGAACAAGCTGAGCCGACGGAGCACCTATGAGGGGAAACGCGAGGGGGGGGCAGCTGAGGGGGGAAACACGGAGCTGGAATGGCGATGCGTCGCCGATAGACATGCGATAAACCTCCGATAGCGAATCCGCCCGTTCCAGGGCAGGGTGGGTGAATTGGCGATTGGGGGTCGATTGCACCCCCAAGCGATCCTCGTCGTCTGACTTTCGGGTTATAACTCTGGTCTCTGGCGGTCGTTCGGGGCGATCCGAACAACCCCAGGCGCCCCTCGGTGAGGCCCAGCTCCCCGAGGCTGGAGAGCCGCCGAGAGTAGACGAAAACGTCACGAAATCAGAAACCTCGAACCTCGAACCGCCTATCCCTGGCGTTGCCCCTGAGCTCCCCTTAACACGATTCCCCCCCTCAGCCGATCCCCCCTCATCGGCGGTTCAAAGATGGGGCCCTGAGGGATGGGGCTCTAGGGATAGGAAGGTTGTTTGAGGCGCCTCGTCCTTCTGCCCCATCCCTCGGGCCCCCAGGGCCCCATCTTGAAGCCCCGAACCGAACGTTGTGCCCCCTGAGATCCCCTTGAGATCCGAAATTGTCAACAAAACCGCAGCACTGCCAAACATCGTGACCAGAGCCCTGGACCAATCTTTCTGCTGCGTTTTTCGACCCGGATCGATCTGTAGCGGCCCCAAGGCCCAAGGCCCGAAACCGGGCGACCACGCCCGGAGTGTGAAAGAATTGCAGCGCCCGGAGCTCCAGCCCCCCTGTCGAGCCAATCCCCCCTCCTCACGCATGGCCCCGGACGCCTCCCCGCACCACCACTCCAGCCCCAAGCCGTCGACGATGCCCTGGACGTCCGAGGCCGCCACGCCAGCAGAGCCGCCCCGGTCGCCGCCCAGATGGCGGGGGCGGCCAGCTCCGCCGACGGCGGGGCCGCGGCCGCGGGCGCCGGGCGGGCTGCGACTCCTGTGGCTGCGCGCAGGGAAGTGCATCGAGATCTTGACCTCGAGTCTGTTCTCACAGTGGGCGTGTTCGCCAGGTTTCTCGGGCCCTGGGGTTATCACACATCGATTTGGCTCGAAAACAAACACAGCAAAAATGATCCAGGGCTCCTGTCGCGATTTGGTCAAATTTCCGCAACTTCGGATCTCAGGGTGGCTCCGCAATATGGAGGTCTGAATCCTCCCAAATGGGGTTCGAGTGAAGTGACACATGCGACACTAATTTTTGCAACAAGAGATCTTGAGGCACATTCGTTGTCGATTTGAAGGCCCTGAGATGCCCCAGAGCTTCTGTGGGTCCCTGCTGGAAGTCCGTGGGCACCTGCTGGCAGGCAGGCTTCTTTCGTATGCAAGGGCTCCCAACTTCGCGCTTCGCGCTGCGCGAAGCGCGAAGTGCGAATAACTTCGCGCTCTCGCGCCGCCTCCCAGGGGAGCAAAAGAGGATGAGGAGGAATCGGAGCCGAACCGCGAAGCGCGAATAACTTCGCGCCCTCGAGGGCGCCCTTGCGTATGTGCCTACCATAGATGTGGTCGGAAGATCACGCTACATCGGCGATGCATCGCCGATGTGTCGGCGACGCACGGGCACCGTCGGCGTGCAGGACGTCGGGCTCCACATCGGCTCCACGTCGAGCCACAGCGCCGTCGCATCGGAGATCCCATCGGATCATGTGTGGCAGTGGGCCACAGGGAGCTCCACCGAGGGCCCCAGTGGCGGTGTCCACGTGCGTCCGCGCCACCCATGTCGGCACACCCCTCACACGGTTCGTGGCCCCATAAAAGGGGGCTCCATGCGTTCGTGCCACCGATTTCGGCGCATCCCTCACACGCTTCGTGGCCCCATAGGGAGCTCCACCGAAAGCCCCAATGGCGGTGTCCACATGCGACTGTGTCATCCATGTCGGCGCACCCTTCACACGCTTCGTGGCCCCATAGGGAGCTCCATTGTGGGCCCCAGTGGCAATGTCCACATGCGTCCGCGCCACCGATCTCGGCACACGCCCCATAGCTCCATCGAAGGCTCCAATGGCGGTGTCCGCATGCGTTCCCCCACCCAGTACAACGTTCCGTGGCCGCCCCATAGGGAGCTACACCGAAAGCTGCAGTGGCGGTGTTCGCATGCGTGCACCCCACCCAGTACAGCGTTTCGTGGCCCCATCGGAAACTCCACCGAAGGCCTCAGTGGTGTGTTCGCATGTGTTTCCCCGATCCAGTACAGCGTTTTTTTGGCCCCATAGGGAGCTCGACCGAAGGCCCTAGGGGCGGTGTCCGCATGCGTTTCCCCTACCCAGTACAGCGATTCGTGCCCCCCATCGTGAGCTCCACAGGAGGCCCCAGTTGCGGCCCTGCACCATTGCGGCGCACCCCTCACACGTTTCGCGGCCCCATGGTGGCCTCCGCCTCGAGCCCCAATGGTAGCGCCCACATGACTGCCCCGCACCATATTGGCACACCCTTTGCATACTTCATCGCCCCTGAGGAGATCACCCGAAGGCGATACCCGCAATGGCGGCACTCCCAATCAGATTTTTTGGTCCATGTTCTGTGGTGTGGATCCTCGTTTTGAAGAGACAGCGCCCCGCGTACCTTCCTCCTCCCTTCCTTCTTTCCTCCCCCCTCCTCCATCCTCCCATAATCACCATCATCCCATCACCCTCGTCCGTGCGTCCCCCCATCGATTTCGGCACACCCCTCACACGGTTCGTGGTCCCATCGGGAGTTCAGCCGAAGGCCCCAGTGGCAAGGTTCGCATAGCACCGCCGCCTCCATCTCAGCACACCCCTCACACGGTTCGTGGCCCCATGGGAAGTTTCGCCGAAAGCCCCAATGGCAAGGTTCGCATAGCACCGCCGCCTCCATGTCGGCACACCCCTCACACGCTTCGTGGCCCCATAGGGAGCTCCGCCGAAGGCCCCAGTGGCAGGGTTCGCATGACACCGCCGCTTCCATTTCGGCACGCCCCTCAAACGTTCAGTGGCCCCATTGGGAACTCCGCCGAAGGCCCCAATGGCAGGGTTCGCACGGCACCGCCACCCTCGTTTCGGCACACCCCTCGCAAGTTTCGCGGCCCGATAGGGAGCCCCGCCGAAGTTCCCAATGGCAAGCTTTGCATAGCACCGCCGCCTCCATTTCGGCACAGCCCTCACACGTTTCGAAGCCACATAGGGAGTTCTGCCGAAGGCTCCAGTGGCAGGGTTCGCATGGCACCGCCGCCCCCATGTCGGCGCACACCTCACCTCACACGTTTCGTGGCACACCCCTCACACGTTTCGTGGCCTTATAAGGAGCCCCGCCTAAAGCCCGAATGGCAAGGTTCGCATGGCACCGCCGCCTCCATGTCAGCACGCCCCTCACACGTTTCGTGGCCCCATAGTTTGGGAGCTCCGCCGAAGGCACCAGTGGCAGGGTTCGCATGGCACCGCCGTCTCCATTTCGGCACAGCCCTCACATGTTTCGCGTGCCCATCGGGAACTCCACCGAAGGCCCCAGTGGCAAAGTACGCATGACAACGCCATCTCCATTTCGGAGCACCCCTTACACGTTTCATGGCCCCATAGGGAGCTTCGCTGAAAGCCCCAGTGGCAAGGTTCGAATGGCACCGCCGCCTCCATTTCGACACACTCCTCACACGTTGCCCGAGGGCGATACTCGCAACGGCGGTATTCACAACTGCGTATGTTTGGGTCCTTCGCCAGGATAATATCTCAGGCGAAGGACCCGACCATATACAGTTGTGAATGCCCCAAGTGTGAGTATGGTCTTCGGTGGATTTCCCCATGTGGCCAGGACGCGCGCGAAAGCGGAGCTCACCATGGGGGCCGCGATACGGGTGAAGGGCGTGCCGAAATGGGGAGAGCCGCATGCGAACCGTGCCACTGGGGGCTTCATGCTACCACGCAGCGCTCAAGGGGTGTGCCGAAATGGGCGTGACGTCCACATGCGAACATCGCAATTGGTGCCTGATGTGGAGCTCCCTATGGGCCACGAAACGCGTAAGCGGCGTGCCGAAACGGGGGTGGTGCCCACATGTGAACGTCGCCACAGGGGTCTCAGGTCGACCTCCCTATGGGCCCACGAAGCGTGTTAGGGTGGTGCCGAAACGGGCGCGACGCCCACACGCGAACGTCGCCGCTGGGGCCTGCGGTGGAGCTCCCTACTGTGCCACGAGACGTGCGACGGGTGTGCCAAAACGGGCGTGACGCCCACATGCGAATGTCGCCACTGGGGCCTCAGGTGGAGCTCCCTATGGGCCCACGAGGCGCGTGAGGGGTGTGCCAAAAAGGGCGTGACGCCCACATGCAAACGCCGCCACAGAGGCCTTCGGTGGAGCTCCCTATTGGGCTACGAAGCGTGTCAAGGGCGTACCGGAACGGGCGCGACGCCCACACGGGAACGTCGCCACTGGGGCCTCAGGTGGAAATCCCTATGGGCCCACGAGGCGTCTGAGGGCTGTGCCGAAACCGGCGCGACGTCCACATGCGAACGTCGCCATTTGGACCTTATGTGGAGCTCACTATGGGGCCACGAAGTGCGTGAGGGGCGTGCCGAAACGGGCGTGACGCCCACACGCGAACGTCGCAGCTGGGGCCTTCGGTGGAGCTCCCTATCAGGCCACGAAGCGCGTCAGGGGCGTGCCGAAACGGGCGTGACGCCCGCACGCGAACGTCTTCACTGGGGCCTCAGGTGGAGCTCCCTATGGGGTCACGACGCGTCTGAGGGGTGTGCCGAAACGGAAACGTGAGGAGGGCAGAGGAGGGATGGGAGGAGGGAGGTGAGGAACGCGGGGCGCTGTCTCTTCAACACGAGGGCTCAACACCATTTTATGGTTGGGAGCAACAATTCGTCGGATGTCTGGGCTCGGCGAGGGGCCGCCCTTGCGCGCGGCCAGCTCCTGCCCTCGCCCTCGTAGCCCCGGCTGCCGCGGCCCTGCCCCTTCGGTGCCCTCTCTTCGGGTGTTGCCAGAAGTGTCCCTGGCCCAGGGGGTCCCAACGATTTCCAAGGAGGCTCCACGGCCCAAGAGCACCCCTCACGAGGCCCAGAGGGCTCTAAGGACTCCCAAATGGAGGGGGCGCCATGGGCCGGGGACACCTTTGGCAACCCCCGATCTCTCTGCCAGGGAACTTGCGGAGCGCGCTGCTGATCCGCGCCATCGCCACGCCCGAGGGATTGGCGGCCTTCATGAGCTTGAGGCCTCGGAAGAAGACAAAATACCCATACAGCTACTCTTGCCTCGCTTCCGGTTTTGGGGCCTCCTGGGAGGCCTTCGTCGCCACCGCTGGATTCGCCTCGAACCTCTGGTCAGAATGCACCCCGGGATAAATCCAGGGAGTAGCGGTGTTGGTATCTTTTGGTCTGACCAAGGCCGGTCTCCATGACCGCCTCTGTCTGCTCTGGCGTGAGGGTGCCCAGGCGGTCGACCACGCCCTCGCCCAGGTCGTTCACCTTGATGAAAATCTCCACTCGTTTCTCTAGAGGTATGCTCGGTAAGGCTTCGGGCTGCGCGCTGACAGCCCCCCAGGCAGTCCCAGCTGGTCTCGACGCCTCAGCCCCAGGGCGCGGGGCGCCCCAGGGGGCGACCCCAGAAGCGGTGCCTGAGTGTTGAGACCGCCCTGGGCTCCTCGGGGAGCCTGTTGGGGCCAGCTGGGACTACCTGGCGGGGCTGTCTCTGCGCAGCCCGAAGCCTCACCAAGTATGCTATGCCGTATCCGGTTCGACATGACGGCGCTGGGGTTCCGGACACGATCTGGCCCCTCCATCTCGAGCGGGGGGTTCACGACCTTTGCTCGCTGCGCCGGCGTCAGCAGCTGCAGCGCCTCTCGGCTGCGCACCCAGGGGGGGAAGGCAGAAGGGGTGCGGGCCCTCTCAGAAGGCTCGCCAGACATGCTCGCGCAACGACAAGATCACGACGGGAATTCGTGTGGCCGATTTCGGCCCTCGGGGACCCTCGCTGGGCCCTGGGATCGTCAACAAAACGAACCGCGGTGAAGAACTGGCCCTGGGGAAAGGGTCGGGACCTCAGGGGGGCTGCATTGAAGAAGCCAGTACATCGGGTGCCTGGGCCAGAAGGGCTCCGTCCCTCTGAACCGTTTCTTGGAGCCTCCCCCGAAGCCGGGGAAGGCCACTCAGAGGGCGGGAGGGCCTCGGAGAGGCCCCGCCACCTTCCTGAGAGGACCTGCCCCCTCTCACTTCCCCCTTCGGCGCGCCGCCGAGCTCGGCTTCCGAGCCCCAGCTCCGGTCTCTGGCGGCCGCTCGGGAGGACCCGGGCACCCCCCGAACGACCTCGGCGAGGCGCGGCCGCTTCAGAGCACCCCGAGGCTGGAGAAAACCGCCGAGAGCCGACGGGCAGGCACGAAGACGTCGGACCTCGAAGCTGGAGCTTCCACCCTCGCTGCGCCGCCGAGCCTCGGCCACCCACGGCTCCAGCTCGTGCCGCTCTACGAAGCTGTCTACGTCGAGATCGCCCTCCCCGAGCGGCCCGTCCGGGGTCGTGGAGCGGGCGGCGCCCCTCCTGTGCCCCCGCCTCCCCCATGGGCTCCTCCCTTCCTCCCCCTTCATCACCCGTTCCGTTCTCACTCTGCCTCCTTCCCGTCTTAGTCTTCCTCCGACTCCTCTTGCTCTCCGCTCTCCCTCTTCCTCTTTGTCTTTCTCCTCCTCCTTCCTCGGTCTCCTCCTGCCTCCTCCTCTCCTCCTGGTGCCGCTCGCAGAGCTCATGTCGGCCACGGCCATCGCCAAGGTGCTCACCGCGTTGACCATGTCGGGGCCCTGGCGGCTGCAACGGCGAGCGTGCGTCTGGAAGTTGCCAGCACCAAAAGCCCCGGGGGAATCGTGAGGAGGGGGAAGGACGAAGGGGGGGAGGGAGTGAGCGGACGGGATGGGCATGGATGGGAGAGGGAGAGTGTGGAAGAGACCACCCACTTTCCCCCTCCTCTCACTCCGCTCCCCCTTTACTGTCTCCTCCTCCTCCTCCTTCACCTCCTTCCCCTCCTTCTTCTCTTCCTGAACTGATCCGTCTCCTCCTCCTCCTTCTCCTTTCTCGCTTGCCGTCCACTTCCTCCTTCAGCTTCTCTTCCTTCTCCTCCGTCCCCTCTCTCCTCGATGCATATCTTCCTCCTCCTCCTCCTACTCCGCATCACCATCATCACCATCATAATCACCATCACCATCACCATCACCATCACCATCGCCATCATCATCACCATCATCATCATCACCATCATCATCATCATCATCATCATCATCATCATCATCATCGTAACCATCACCATCATCATCGTCATCATCATCATCATCATCGTATCCATCACCATCGTCATAATCATCATCATCATGATGATGATGATCATCATCATCATCATCATCATCATCTTCATCTTCATGATCATCATGACCGTCATCACCAACGCCCTCATCATCATCATCATCCCCATCATTATCCCCATCATTATCATCATCATCAGCATCATCATCATCAACATCATCATCGTCAGCATCATCATCATCAGTTTTGTCATCATCATCATCATCATCATCATCATCATCATCATCATCATCACCATCATAATCACCATCACCATCACCATCACCATCATCATCATCATCACCATCGTCATAATCATCATCATCATCATGATCATCATCATCATCATCATCATCATCATCATCATCATCATCATCATCATCATATCTCCTCAACCTGTATACTACTTCTCCTTCTCCTCCTCTCCCCTCTCCGGGTCTTCCATCCTCTCCTGCCCCCTCTCCTCTACCCTTCCCTCCTCCTCTCGCGCCCATCTCCTCTACATTCTTGTTTTGTCCTCCTGGCCCTCCTCTCCTCCCCTGCCTAGCCTTCCTTCCCCTGCTCACTCCTTCTGCTACCCCCGCCCTCTCTCATTGTGTGGGGGGGGGCAAGTCGAAGCGCCCAGGCCAGTGCTCGGGGGAGCCCTATGGGCCCGCACCACAAGTCGGTCGACGTCGGCGGACCAACTTGCCGATCCTGGCTGGTCCGATCATGGGCCCAAGATGGATCTGGCCACGATCCGTGAGGTGGTCAGCTGCCGTCGCCCGAACAGGTCAGTCCGGCCAAGGGCGTAGCCAATCCATCCGTCTTCCTGCCTTTCCTATCTATAACTCCTTCTCACCTGACCACCAGACGTGTCGGCTGGGCGGGCTGGGCACTTCGCCTGAGATCTCCTCCTCGGATATGACCCCGACGCTTGCGTTTTCCAACAACTGGACGAATGAATGGTCGGGTTTTAAACTGTGGCCCTCGCTTCAGCGCCGCGCGCATCCGTTTTGACAGTTTACAGCAGTTACTCGGATGGAGGAGGTGTGGTTTGCAAAATGTGGCTCTCGCCTTTGCGCCGGACGCACACGTCTTACATGTTTCCAGGTGTTACACGGATGGACGGGGTGGTTTGCAACATGTGGCTCTCGCTTTAGCGAGGCCTCGCGTTCGTGTCAAACGTTTCAAGCAGTTCCACAGATGGAGTGCTGTTCTTTTACGAGGTGGAACAGTCGTTTGATGCTTCCTTGATCCTTACGACCAGCAGTCTAAAGCTGTACCACAGCTGCACGGAAGGAGGCAGGCTTCATATCAATTCTGGGGTATCGATTGAGACTTCGTTGGTTAGGCTTCATGGCTAGCCGGCTCAAAACTTGGACAAGACACTGCATGCGTGGAGTTTTCTGTCAAAAGCGGGGCTCTCGCTGGACAAATCCTTAGACTGCATGGTCCTACCTCGTCGCCGGCGTTACAGCTGGAAACCTGCATGCGAGCCCCTCTTCAAAACGGGGCTGTCGCCTGAATTGCAGGGCCACGGGGCGCTCGTCTTTCAAGACGGCCCTTCCTGCAAAGAAGGGGAACTCTTGTACGGACTTGTGCGGAGGCGAATTGGGATGCATCTTGGGCTTACTTCGGTCCTCCTCCTCCTCCTCCTTCCCCCTCCCCCTCCTCCTTCCCCCTCCTCCTTCCTCCACCCTTCCGCGATCAGATTTTTCAAGCCATTGCCCTGAAGTCCCGACCCCTACCCTGGAGGTAGTTTTTTTTCATCCCGGATCCATTCTTGATGGCCCCGGGGCCCGATAACTGGCCTCAGAGTCAGAAGTCGTAGAACAACTTCGTGTTGAAAAAGCCTCCCTCCTCCCCCCGACCTCCCTCCATCCTTCATCCCGCTTCCTCCCCTCCTCCTGCTCGCCGCCCGGGGCGGTCCGCGCTTATGCCGCCAGCTCGCGCGATGGCGTCCGAGGCCTGGCGGAGGATGCCGGCCTCGCGCCCCGACCCCACGGCGGAGGGGGAGGAGGACGAGGAGGACGAGGAGGACGAGGAGGAGGAGGGGGAGGAGGAGGAGGAGGAGAAGGAGGAGGAGGAGGAGGAGGAGGAGGAGGAATATGATGTTCTTTCCATGCTGTGCGCACGAGGGCCACGGGACTTCTGCGTGAAAGGTGATCGCGTGCTGCAATCGAGATCGGCTCGCAACGGGCCCGATCGGTCTCTCGAGAAAGGAAATCGGCTGAAACTCACACGGGTCCACACCCAGGAAGCTGTCACAAACAGATCTTGACCGACTTATGCGGCCGACCCGAATGGAGACCCAGCGCAGAACACTATTGGAGGTAGGCCCGGAGCCGATGGGTATTCTGGGCCAGCAAGGCCTGCTCAAAACAAGCAGAGTAACCTGTGGTGCAGCTCACGAGGGTAAGCCTCGGGGAACTTGGTATAGAAAATGCCCCGCGGATTCTTACCTTCTAATTGCATGTGAGGAAGCGCAGACCGAAGGCAGATCCCGCGGCCCGAGCAGTGAGAGACATCACTGGTCGAGATCCACGACTCGGAGACGAGTGCGCTTCCTCCAGGGTAGACCTTCCATGCAAAAATCGGTATGAAGTCCCGAGGAGGAGAGGGTGAGGAAGATGACGACACCGCGGACGAGGGAGGAAGGAGAAGAGAGGGATTACTACAAACCCAGCTTTGGCCGGGGTTCTCGATTGCCATAGGAGTCCCAGTCCCGCGGGCGAGCTTCAAAAGCCCGCCGCAAAAACTGGCGAGGGCATTTCCTGTCCGGACGGCTTGCAAATCCCAAGGCTTGAGATCGGGGAGGCCCAAAGACGTTGGGCCTATTACGTGCGGTACTGAAACTAGTGCACGGCAGACCTATTGGCAGACCTATCAACACTGCGCGGAAAAGGCCAATCTTGGAGCCTTATTCTCAAGAGTTGCGGCAAAGATCGCCGACGCAAATCATGCTCGGCACCGAACCTCACATCGAACTCAAAGTAGGGATTCCCTGGAAGCGCCTGGATTGCCTCCAGGCGGAACAGAAGCTACCCATGCCAGAGAACAGTTCTACTGCAAAACCTCGACTCGAGAACTCACCGGACCTCCATCTTTTCATCAGCTCGGCAGGAGCCGCACGGAAATGCAGCGCTCTGCTGTGTCGGCCGCCCGCCGCACGGCGGGAGACAGGCTCTTAAGCAACTGGTTTACGCGACCGCCTTTCGTGTAGCGAATCACGGAGCGCTCTGCCATCCATCTTCCTCGGTCCTGGACGCTGCGTAGGTCTCGAACGCCGGTCATGGCGTCGTGGGGCTTCAGGTCCGCTCGGGGGCCCCGCGCAGGGGGGAGCGTCAGGTCGCGCTCGCGACTCCTCGGCAGCTCGCGCGGGCGCAAATCGTGGATGAAGGCGAAGATGACGGCGGCCGCGAGGTGCCGGCTGCCTGTCTCGGCCAGGCGACGTGCCGCCAGGCAAGCTGCCGCCCGCAGCAGTGGAAGACGAGCCCGCGGCGGATCCAGCCTCGCAGAGCCCTGGCGGGCCAGCTGGACACGCACCAACTGGGGGCAGCCAGGGCCAACAGTAGGTCGGAAGTGCGCCACCACCGCCGCCTTCGAAGCCGCATTCGACCTCCAACCGTCGTAGAAAATCTGATCGAGCATCTCCACGCGCGCCGTCTCGAATTCCGTGGGCCTGGTGGACTTCAGCAGCTGCAATCGAGCCCGCGTCAGGAACCGCTGGTACTGATCGCGGTGCTCGGACTCCTGCTGGGCGGACGCGGAGCGACGCTCTGGCGCGCTCCTCCAGCCGCCTGGCTGCGCGTCCCGCCCGAGGCGGAGGCCGAGCCGCCCTGCGCGCAGCCGCGCCTGTCGCGGAGGCCGAGCTCGCCGCTGGCCGCTGCCGCGGGAGGCGTCCGTAGATCTGGAGGGCGTCGGCCAACTCGTCCCACGGGCTCGATGTCGACGCCCCCGCGGATGACGCTCTCGGTCTGACCGTCGGGCGGCTTCCCGAAGGGGAAGCGCGCGCTGCGCGACGGCTCCCCGCTCCTCGCGGCAACGCCCCCTGAGCCCCCCCGCGCTGGGCGCCTCCCGGGCAGAGGCGTGCAGAAGTTGTCCTGCTCTAGCAAACGATTCAGGGTGCGTCGCTGCGCGCCCCGCTTGAAGCGATTGCGGGATTGCCTCGTCCAGGGCGCCATCGCAGCATCTCCCGGCGCGCGGGCAGCTCGAATGCGTGCCCCTGCAGCTGCCTGCGCCTGGGCGAGGTCTCTGGCCACCGTCGGAGCATGGCGTTGAAACCAGTGGTGCCATCGTGAGTGTATGCCGGCATGGCCAGGAAGAATCTTCGCCTCCGTCAGCGCCGTTGCCATGCGGCCCCAAGGAATACCTCCTCTAGCGTGCGCCTCCCAGGCGTCCGTGCGCAGCGTGGCTGGCTGACAAGAGCTGCGCGGCGGGCGGAGTCGAGCCGACAAGCCCAGTTCCGTCGCGTGGTGCATGTCTGTTGGTTGGCACCAGCCACCTGGCCCAGAGGCTACGCGTCGGGCCGCTGCCGCCTCCCGCTCGAGGACCCCAGGCGGCGGCGCCTCCGCGTGGGCCGCGAAGAGACGCGCGGGGAGGACTAAGGCGTGTAGCCCCAGCTCACTCCATCGCCGTTCCCGTAGTCGTTCGTCAAATTTCTCCAGCGGCTTTGCCCGAGATCTGTCCCCCTTGCCAGGCCCAATGTGGCTCCCAAATACTTGCCAGGTGTCGCCCAAGAAACTTGCATAGCCGATGGATCGCTGGCCGTTTCCTGCTGGAGTTGGGGCACATCCACGTCCCATAGAGGGATGACGACCGCCTTGCTTAGGTTTAAAGCCGGGCTCGATACCGACTCGAAGACGTTGAAGGCAGAGACAACTCTGTGGTGATCATGCCGCCAAGATCGAATGACCATCGCGGTGTCGTCAGCGAAGGCCCTCGTCGTAGCGGAAGGGTGTCTGAGTTCCATGATGCGCAGTAGACTATCCGATGCCAGCGCAAACAAGTAGCGGTGATAGCGGACAGCCTTGCCGAATCCCAGACTCCAGCGCAACCAGCTCGTAGAGCCTCCCCTGCAGCAGCAATGTACCGACGGCCCGGTGGTAGAACGAAGTGAGTACCCCCATTGCTGCGGGAGGAAAGCCTGCTGCTTCTGCCATCGTCATGATGTATTGCCTAGACACTGAAGGAAAAGGCAACCGCGAAATCGAAGAGCACGATGGCCGCGTTATCCTCCTTCAACGCAGCTAACATTGATGTGTGCTCGGTGTCCACAACGTAAGAAAACATAAAACGACCTTGTATAAACCCTCGCTGCGCTGTCGTGATACCTGGTGATACTAATGGCTCCCATCGGGCGGTATGCATTCGCAATGACCCTGTTATCTGTATTCATAATCGAAAGAAGGCGTGCCCCCTCGTGTCTGAACACCTGCTCGCCAGCTGCGTCTGTCCGTACTGATTTTTAGGTAAACAATATAAAAAGAGACTCGTTGAACTCATCGTGCGCTTCTACCCCAGCTTTAGGTCCCCCTCAAGCCGCCGCCCTGCCTGCCAGAGCACCAGCACCCCAACCGGACCCAAACAGCGCCACGCCTGGAACAGCATGCCGTCGGGGCCTGGTCGGGAGTTGCCGACGATCCGTAATGCTCTTTCGGTGTCCTTGGACCTGAGGCGCCACTTCTCGGCAGGATACGTCAGCTGTTGGGACCCCGCATGCCTTGCAAGAACTGCCCATGTAGCCAGCTTGGCAGCGTCAACATCCGCGTGACCGAACACTCGTCGCCAGTGAACCGCCAATCGTTCGGCGATCACCTCGTCGTCCGTGTGGATGTTGCCCTGCGTGTCCTCTAGGATATGAGTGCCAGCATTGTCGGTCCGCCGGGCGAGCCGAGCCAACCGGCGGTTGATGGAGTTCTGTTGCACTCGTCGGTGACGCTCGTCCAGCCCGCCGCTCCCGCTGTGCTCCTGCGGTTGCACCGCGCGCACGTCGGACAGTACCTCGGCTCTGCTTAGCTGGACTGCGTGGTCTTTCGGCTTCTGCAGAATGGCCGCCACAAAGGCCGCAGGGGGGGCCTTAGAGCTCCTCTATGCTTTGAGCATGCGCTGTCGAACTCGGTCGTGCGAAGTGAAGAAGAAGGAGGAAAAAGGGGAAGAAAGAGGAAGGAGGGACGACATGGGATGATGAAGCGGAAGAAGATGAAACGGACGAGGGGGGGAATGATGAGTATGACGGCGATGCTGATAGTGATGATGACAATTTCAGGAGTCGGTGGAAAAGGTGGAATAGGAGCAGGAGAAGCAAAATACGGAGAAGGCCTCCTCTTGAGGAGGGGCAGGAGCAGCGGGGGGGGGACTGGAGGAACAGGAGTAGCGGTGATAGCAAGGAGGGAAGACGCGGAGGAGCAAGAGGATGTTCAACCTGTACCCCCCCGCCAAGCCGAGGGGATCGTTTCTGTCTTCAATCCCCAATCCCCACCCGCCTCCTCCTCCCAATCATCCCCAGCTCCCCTCCCTTCCTCCCGCCCCTGTCCTCCTAACCCTCCCTCAACCACCCTCTCTGTTCCCCTTGGCTCCTCTCCCTCTCTTCCTCTCTCCTCCTCCTCTCCCCTTCTTTCTCTCCCCGCCCCTCCGCCGCACGGCAGCTCAAAATCGGTCCCACGATCTCCCCCAGGGTCCAAACGCACAGGTTTTCTGAGCTGCGTCCAGCCGTGGCGACGAGGGCCCACCCGAAGGCCAACTACCTTCGTCTCAACTCTCCCTCCTCTGATCCCCCCTCCCCTCCCCGCCAAGTTGAGGGGGTCGCTCTCGTCGCCCATCTTGGCCGCCGCTCGCCGCCGGCGTCCGCAGGCCGCATGGGACTGGGGAGCGAGGGCGCTCCAGCGACCAACTGCTCTGGGGGGCGTCGGGCGAGCGGCCGGGGGGGAGGAGGACAAGGAGGGGCACGAGACGGGGGCGAGCAGGAGGTTCGTTTCGGTCCTCCTCCCAGGCGCGAGCCGCAGCTCACAAGTGCTGTGCGGGGGCCACTCCCCAGGGAAGGGATAGCCGTGGTGAGCTCAGAAGGGATTGAAGTTTGGGCCACAAGAGGGCCCCAAAACGATGCATGAAAACTGCACAGAGCTAGGAGAGCATGATGAAGACGAGAAGGATGAGGACAGGGAAGACGACGAGGGCGACTTGAGGAAGCTGGAAGAAGAGAAATAGGATAGAAATAACGCCGAGTACAAGCCAGAGCCTATCCCTCCTAAAGTTGACCCCTGATATTGCGTTTCCGCGCACACCACGCATGCTTTCGGTCGCACGCAGCTGGGGCGGACGCCGCTCGAGCGCTCCAAGGAGTCAAAATCGGGCTAAACTAAGCTACCTTGGGTCGACCCTGGAGAGCCGGCAAGCGAACGGGGTGGGCGCTGGCCCCTCGGGGACCGCCCAGAAAGCGAAAAAGGAACCATCAGTGCGTACCGGGAGACTGTCGCTGTTGATCTGCAGGGAACAGCAGGAAGGTGCGGAGCGGGCCCGGCCGCCAGGTGCGCTGTTGGGCCAGGTACGCCAACGATCCTCTTGGTGAGGCCGTCGCTGTTGATGCGACGGTGGCGTGAGGCTGTGGCGTAAGAGGGCCCTCCAAAAAAAGAGAGCCCCTGCGCTGGGCGGCGCGAGGGCCAGGGCGGCCAACGATTTTCACCGCGAGGCCGTGGCTGTAGATCCGATGGCGCCGTGCGAAAAGCGGGTGGGAGCAGTCCCCGCCGAGCGGGTACGGATCGAGCGCGCCGGAGTGGCGGGCGCGGTGGGGCTGGGAACGCCATCGATCCTCTCGGAGGGGCCGTCGCTGGTGATCCGATGGCGGTGTGGAACGGCGGGCGAAGAGGAAGGCTCCTGCGCCGAGCGAGCGGCGCGAAAGGGCGGGGCGGCCCTCGATCCTCGCGGAAAGGCAGCGGGGGAAGAAGGGGCGTCGCCGAGCCGAGCGGTGCAGCTGTGCAAAGCGAGCGCGCCAGAGCGGCGAGAGGCAGGAGAGGTCCCAGCGGTGGAGGGCAGCGGGGCCCTGCCGCATCGAGGCGGGTGCCTGGCAGGCGGAGCCGCGCTGGCAGAGGCCGAAGCAGGGGCAGCGCAGCAGGATGGGACAACAGTCGATCCTCTCTGCGTGGCCGTCGCTTGTGATCCGATGGTGTCGCGACCCGGGGGCGGGCGCAGAGGACGCGTCGTCGCGCCTGGCAGGGTCACCGAGCGGCGGGCGTGATCGCCCAGGGGCGGCGGGCGGAAGACAAACACACAGAACAGAGCCCGGCCGGGGAGACCCGAGGGCGAGCGTCCCGAGGGGGGGGGCGCCGCGGGCGGCAAGGCAGCGCGCCGGCTGCCGCGGGCTGAGGAAGTCCCCTCAGGGGGCCCCGAGCTGCAGAGGCGGAAGAGGGGCTCGCCCGGCGGCTCCGGAAGGGGCCCGCGGCCCCTGTCGATCTGATGGCTCCGGAGAGCGGAAAACAGCTGGTCCTCGCTGAAAGATGGGTCCAGGGGTGTCACCCGGCAGGAAGAGAGGATACTGCAGGAAGAGAGGATACTGCAGGAAGAGCCGTCTGCGACGCACTCGTGGTACTGCAGGAAGAGAGGGGGCCGTCACTGGGGCGCCTGGGGCAGATGGGGGCGTCTGCCAAGCGACGGCTCGCGGACGTGCTCCTCCAAAGTGTTCCTTGAAGCCTTGCATGATCTCTGCGTCTGTGGGGCCAGCAGGCGGCGGGGGGAGCAAGCCATCCCAAAGCGTCCGCCTCGAAGACAAAAGCACAAGCACGCACAAACACAAGCACAAGCATAAGCACAAACACAGACGCACACACAAACACAACCATAATCACAAGCACAAGCATATAAGCACACACACAAACACAACCACAAACACAAGCACAATCACAAGCAAAACCACACACCCAAACGCAACCACTCAAAAACACAAACACAACCACAAGCACGAACACGAACATAAACACAACAATACATGCAACCACAGCACGTACACAAGCACAAACACAAACGTAATAACACACAATCACAATCACAATCAATAGCACAACCACACACAAACACAAACACAAACGCAAACACACACATACGCACACACAGACGCACACACACACACACGCACACGCACACGCGCACGCATATGCACCCGCACACGCACACTCTCAAACATACACGCACACAAGCACACGCACGCACGCACATGTTCGCAAACACCCACGCGCGCGCGAGCACGGCATTCGCGCACGCTCACGCACACGCGCGTGCATACACGCGCACCGGCAGACGCGCACAAACGCGCGCGCATGCACACACACACACACGCAGTCTCCTCCCTAGACGATGATGACGACAGAGCCGCCGTTGTCCGTCGCAGGCGGGTAGCGCGCAGGCCGACGCCGCAACCGCCGCGCTGGCGGAGCTCACCCCTCGATGTTCTGCGAATAAATGATGGCCGCGATCCTCGCTTTTATCTTTTCCCTTTCCTCGCTCTTGTCCTCCGCGTCCACCGTTTTCTCGCCCTCCTCCTCTTCACCCTCGTCCTGCACACGTCCCCTCCTCCTCATTGTCCTCCTTGTCCCACTTATTGATTATACCATTCCTTCATTTTATTATTCTCATTGTTGCTCCCATCTCTCATCATTCCCTTCCACCTCTTGCTTCTCCTCAGCCTCACCGTCCTTCTTCCCCTCCTCCTGTTTCTGCCTTTTCTCCTCCGTTCCCTCCTTCTCTTCCCCCTCCTCCTCCTCCTCCTTCTCCTCCTCTTTCTCCATCCCCAGGACGAAAGTTTTTTCCTCTTGGGCCCGGAACGACGGTGTGAAGTCTTCAGCAGACCCGTATGAGATAACCGCCGTCGGATCTCGTGAAGCTCGCGCGGATCCTAATGTGGCTTTGGTGTTTGTTTCGGTGGATCCGATTTCCGTCCGTACGGATCCGATTTCGGATTCGTTGGATCCGTGTCCGGTCTCATTTTTTACGGCGGATCCGATTTCTACCCTGTTTAAATTTATATTATTAAGTTAAACCAGGAGACCGGGAGAAATCGGATCCGCGGACCCCGCAAACCGCCCGTGTTAAGATTCTATGGGGGAGGGGGGTTCGGTAATCAACTTTCCACGATGGGCCCTGCGTCGTCTCGCGCACTCCCATCAACTCCCCGCGCGAGCGGGCCCCATTCAACATGAATACATACATCCCTCCCCCCCCCAGTTGCTGAAAACAGCTCGTCCGGTCGCCGTCCGTTCGGCGGCGCCGACGTTGTCTCGCGAACTCCTCATGGCCATTTTCACCTCAAGAGGAAAATCTTTCGTCCTGCGTAAGTCTTCCCTCCTCCTTAACCTCCTTCCGCTTGCGCCTCCGCCACCTCCCCCTCCTCCTCCTCCTCCTCCTCCTCCTCCTCCTCCTCCTCCTCCTTATCCTCCTCCCCCTCCCTCGGGTCCGCCCTCCCCCGTCTTGTCGCCCCTCTCCTCATTCATCTAGCATTTTGTTTGGGCCGGCTCCTGTACCTGCGCGCGGTGCTTGAGGCACACCGAACACCGCTCTTTCCGATCGGTCTGCTCGGCTGACTAAAGCAAGAGCTTCGCATGCACATTCAGAACCATGTCGCACCCAGTGTCGCGTTCAGCATCCCCTCGGCGGTGGTCTCGCTGTGACAAGTGCAAGAGGTGTGAGTGGAACGATCTGCTCAGCAAGCTGGACACCAAGTGCGTTCACTGTGCCCATGAGGTTAATATCTACAGACCCAAGGGCGGCAAGAAGCCGCGTGCAGCCTCCAAGGAGAGACGCGAGCGGCGGGTCACCTTCGCCGACTGGGTCGACGAGCCGCTGGGCAAGAACGAGCACACCAATATGCGGCCGTGGACACAACCAGATTCGGTTCGTGATCATCTCATGGAGGTGCTGAAGATTACCGAAGTCGAGGACCTCAATAAGTTCCTCAAGCAGAGGGTGCAGTTCCTTTCTGCGACTCAAGCGTCGGCAACGCCACCTTCGGCAGCAGCGGCGCTGACCAAGGCGGACTCCGCCTGGCGCGACGCCAATCACAGGCGCGACCAGGCCGTGGCCAACGTGCGGAAGCTTCGCTCCGCCTGGTCCGTGGCAGGGGGCAAGGAGGCTGCCGCGGCGGTCACTCCTGCCAAGGCAGAGATCACCCGTGAAGGCGCGGTGGGATCACTCGCGCGGGCCGAGGGGGTTGCAGCGGCGCCCGAGGCCATGCCAGCGAACGTCAAAAAGTTTGAGCAGCTCTTCGAGCTGACGTGGGACGAATCCATCTTCCAGGACGTCGAGGGCCTGGGGGTGGAGGAGTCGGAGAAGAAGGAGCTGCGCACCATCCACGAGCAGCTCGCGACCACGCAGAAGGCCTTCACGACCAAGTCGTCGGAGGTGAAGGAGTGGCTCGCCAAGGCCGCCAAGGTGCGCGACGCCATCGACCCGCGCGCGGCCAAGAGGCGGCTGTCCAATGGCGGCGGCGCCCAGGCCACCGCGGCCGAGCCGCAGGCGGCTTCAGCCGGTGGCGGAGGCCGCTCTGAGGGCGCGGATTGAGCCGCGGCGGCCAGCGAGGCGACGGAGGCCAAGATCCAGGCGGAGGCGGCGCGGCTGTCGGCGGCCAAGTTCGCGGCGGCCGAGGCGGCTGCGGAGGCGGCGGCCGCTGGCCAGGCGAGGGCGCAGGCGCGGGCTCAGAGGCCCATGCTAGGCCCAAGCCTGTCGGCGCTTGACGGGTTGCGCCTGGCCGCGGGCCCAGCGGCGAGACGGCCGACGGCCGGGCGCCAGTTCTGTCCCGGGAGAAGTTCGAGGTTGTCCAGGATGCCCGCAATATTCTCTCCTTCTTCTATGCCAGCGTCGTGGCCTTGAGAGATCAGGCGTGGACGTGCCTGAGTCACAACTGTGCTGATCATTCTATCTGGGGGTGCGTCGAGACTCGCCTGCCCGAGTCGAGCTTGCGCAAGAGGGGGCAGATGTCGCGTGGGCAGCACCGTCGTATGATTGCCGATCCTGCCCGCTCTACTGAACGCCATCGGTCGGCAGCTATGGTCGAGCGAGTCGCCGAGGGAGGCGAGGTCATCTTCGCCAAGGTGCACTTGCAAGTCACCAGCCTGGGTGACACCCAGGCCGAGGCCCTCGAGGCCCCTGGGTCTGCTGCAGTGGGCGGGCTCGTCGCGTCGGCCGTCCAGTGCGAGGGTTTCGCCTTCGTTCTGTTCCTGCTCGACGGGTTTTGCTTTATTGGCGCGTCGGGGCGCGGCCGTGCGCGGTGCCCGCGGCTGGGCGCTGTGCCGCGCATGTTGCATTGCAACTGCCATGGTTGGCGCTCGGGGCCGGAACACCACTCCGCGCGAGCTCGACGCGTCGGGCTTCATCCATGAGTACGTGGATGTATGCTGTTGCTTTCACCTGCGACGCGGGCGCTGACGACGCGCTGATTGACTATGCAGTCATGTCTGAGGCCATGGCTCCGTGCATCTCGGGGTGCCAGGCCGTGCTTGATGCGCCCTGGCGCCCTCGCGTTGGCGTCGTCGTCTCGGTCAAGTGCAGTGGCGAACAGTTGGTTGCCCGACGTCTCGAGGCCCCGACGCGCCCGCCACGACCGAGTAGACCCCGAGCCTTGCCGCAGGAGGCCGCTGCCGCTGAGCGCCGATCGCGGTTTTGTTTTGTTTTGGTTTGTTTTGTTTTTGTTTTTTCTCCACCTCACAGAATTTTTTTTTTGGGGGGGGAACGGAGCCTCTAGGGTTCTCTTTCCTTAAAGAGGCGAAGGACCAAGGCGGTCGCCCCGCTGGGCGAGCAGTTCACTCTCCAAGGTAGCCTTGGCTCAAGTTCCCTGCTGGCGGAAGCACCCATCTGCCACGAGGCGTGCCGGGCACGCGGACGGGCAGCGCTTCCTGTCGAGGGGGCCGAGCTCGGGCCAACCATCTGGAGCTGAAGGCGCTCGAACCCCACAGTGCGGCAAGACGTGGGTGTCTCCTTGCCGTCGCTCGGAGCCGAGCTTCAAAAATCTCTGACGGACTAGCTTGGCGGGCGAGGCGACGGGCATTTAAAGTGGCAAGGAAGGCGTCGATGCAAGCAGCGCGTTTTAAAAGGGCTGACTGAGAATCAAAGAACAACAGCATACAGGAGGGAAACCAAGGAAACCTCACGGGGTCCGAATGAGCACATATCCCATCATGTAACCATTTCCGAATCAGAGTCTCGAGTTATGGGCACTGGCGATAATGGTGGATCGAATCCAAATCCGACATGTCAGAAGTATTGCAACCAAACGCACATCCCATCGGGGCGGAGTGAAAGCGGGCAGATGTGCAAATAGAGCCGGTCAACATACGCAGCGGCGCGATCCCCAGGTACATGGAGGTGGTCTCGCATACCGCTCGGGTCGCCTTACACAAGCAGGAAATGTGTGAGGCAGAGGCCGCTGGGAATAATTTCCGAACTCTCCTCGACATCGTGCGTGAAACTGGTTCGCCATCTCGAATGGCACGGAACTCGAGGTAGAGTTTCTGCTGAAGCCGAGGGGAGGAGGCGTTGAGCTGGATGGGGAGCCCGAGGAACCAGGAACGCATTCGGCGAGCAAAGCCTAGGAAGCAAATACTATTCCATCCAACGTGCCAGCGATACGGGATATGTTCTAAATCCGTTCTGGCGTCTTCCAGCGACTCCAAGACCCCGAAGAGAAACCGAGATCTCAGAAGATATCGAATATGCGTTGCCCAAGAGACAGCCGTAAGGTCGACGAGCTCAGTGCGGAAGCCGAGATCCGTTAGATGAAAAGCGATGTTATACGATATGGCGTTGCGGGGGCCAGAGGTAAGACGCATGACAGCTTCATCATCATCATCATCATCATCATCATCATATATATATTTATATATATATGGAGTAACCTGGGGCTAGGAGGATAAAGTTGGAGACGAAATAACAGTTTGGAGAGGCACATCACGCGGAACGCCACTGCACTCCGCGCCACACCTAGTCCTAGCTGGCGAGTTTGGCAAGTGCGCTCCAGAAATCCAGGAACCACCGACCCGATCGGAAAACCAAGGTAAACCGCCCAAGTCCCAATCTTGATTCCTCCGAAAGGGTTGCCGTAACTCGTGAGCACAGACGCGAGACGGGCGCTGTCCAGCGTGCCGCAAATGATCAGCACGCACCTCGAGAAATTGTGGCGCAGATTCGCAATCTGCTCAGGGTGCATGAGGAGCGTGACAAGTGGGCCAAGCTCAGTCAGCACATTCTTCAGACCGAACAGGAAATCGTCAGCATATGCGAGGGTAAGAGAGATGGCAGGAGTAGAATGGTGACGAACCCATCGGAGCAATGGGTCAACAGCAAGTACGAAGAGGTACATGGAGGCGGGGCACCCTTGTTTGACCCCGCTCTCGATCGGGATAGTCTGAAAACGCTGACCAGCAACGGTGACAATCGCGATTTTCTCAGCATACATAGCTTCAAAGAATCGTCGTATAGACCACGGGATGTTCATCTTCGAGAGGACAAAGAAAAGCCAGGATTGAGCGAGGCTAGGGAAGGCAGAGGCAAAGTCAGTCAAGAAGAGGGCTGCTTTCTGGTCATCTCTGAGGTGTCTTTCTAATCCCCACGCCTCCGCCTTCACTACGTTCTCAAGCATGTCCCTCCCACCAACGCACTTCTGCTCCCTCCCAATCATACCCTTCGTATTTGAAACAACAGGAAGAATGCACGCAGCCGCCAGCAATTTCACATCAGTGTTGCTCATGCTCAGCGGGCGCGTGCAGGCAGGCGAACGTAGCAACGGGAAACCGGCACGATCAGCGTCCTCGACGCCCTTCGGAAGAAACGCCAACAGGCTGCAACGCATATCCTCAGGTAGACCGTTGAAGTCATCTTGAAACAGTGTGAGGTAGCACGTGTAAAGTAGCCTTGAGGCCGAGGGTAGTTTCCAGACCGCGTAGGGGATCCCGTCAGGGCCAGGCATGCTGTGGGGCCTCTTGAGGAGCATCTTGTGCCATGAGATATAGTCGAGCTTCCATTCCTCGGGGAGGGGGTTCTCAAGCTTCTGGATGTGGGGGGCGATGTCGGTCCAGAGGCCCTCAGAGACACACGGCTTACTGAACGTGTTAGCCCAGAAGTCGCCCAAGACCTTCGCCGACTCTTCCAAAGTACGACACGGGTTCCCCGACGCATCGGTCACCGCCCCGAGGACAGAGCGACGCCTAAATTTCCGCCAGAGTAGTTGCCTTCGTTCAAGCTTCGCCCTGAGAGCATGCCGTTGCGCCTCGTCGACCTCCGCCCGAGTGATTTCCTTCTCCTCCTCCTCCAAAACCTTCCGATATAAACAGTGAACATGTTGCGTCAACCCGTTCAGGCTGCGGCAATTGAGATCAGTATCGAAATGCACTCGGAGCCTCTCGTAAGCGGCCAGGGCGGAGCGGAGGCGGCGTTGATCAGGCAACAGAACGGCGCGAAGTGCAGACATCGCCCAAAAGTGGTGCCCCTGTAATGTACGGGCTTGCCGAGAGTGAACAGACTGCCTTGCCGCGCGACCAGCCTCAAAACAGAATTCTTTAGCAGTGGAGAGCTGCCTCCAAACATTCCAATCCTCGGGGATGTCCTGGAGGAGCTTATCGGCTTCCTGTCCAAACTCAGGCATGCCAGCAACCCAGGGAGGGATAACAGGATGTTGGGGGTCAGGGGTGAACCTCTCGATCGTGGAACGTATCGGGATGTGGTCACTGGGCATGGTAGCACTTAACACTCCAACCGTAGGCGTAGTAATCGTCAAGTCCCTAAACAGAGCAGGCGCCAAAGACGTATAAATCCTGTCCAATCGAGCAGTTTGAGATACAGCACGTCCCCGAAGACCCCTGCGAGTGTCCTGGGACTGAAAAAGCTCCGTGGAGTGAGCAAGCAGCCTGGGAAACAGCCTGGAATGACGACAATCCCCAGGACGAAACCCGCTGCCATCTCCTGAAAATCCCCCCCCCCCCCCCTCCTCGAGAACCAAATTCCAATCGCCAAGTAGTACCGCGTGAGCGTGCCCATCGTCCCCTCCAGGAAGATGCCGAGAAACGTCGCGCTGCAAGCCATGAAGAACGCCAGAGAAGGTGGGGGAGGGGTCGGATGTGTTGGGCAGGTGGACATTGTATACAACCATCATACCAGGCGGACCCTTAAGCATGCTCGTGATGATCCTGCCCACTATCAATGTCTCGTGCTCAACCTCAGAGAAGAGAGAGAGAGAGAGAGAGAGAGAGAGAGAGAGAGAGAGAGAGAGAGAGAGAGAGAGAGAGAGAGAGAGAGAGGAAGGAACGAGAGAATGCCGTCACCATTCCACCTTCACGAGTAGAGTCAGGGAACAACTGCTGGCAAACGAGTGGTCGGGTAGCTCACGCTCCAATTCAGCAATGTCTCCATTGTGACCAAGTGTCTCCTGTCCTGCGGTAATGTCGTGTGTGCTGCATAATTGTATGAATTTACGATGGCGTTTCGGAGCCCTCCTCGACAGCGGCTTCGCAGAGGCAAAGAGAGCGTCAGTGTTCCAAGAGCAAAGGGAGAGAGAGGAGGGAGGGGGGAAGGGAAGGGGGGCGGACGGGGGGGGGGAGCAAGCACCTCACTGTGGGCGCGGTCAGCCTCAACGCGGAAAAGGGGCGGCGGACCTGGACTGCCGCCGCTGCTTGCACCGACTCAAGAATGGGCGCAATCTCAAATTCCACAAAGATGTCGCGATCACATTCGCAGGTCACATGACCTTCTGAGTCTACGGCCAGCTTCACTGCTGGGGCAGGATCCTGGGGGCGGCGCATGATGTATACCGTTCCACCCAGGCCCGTGCTTCCCACAGAGAGACCTTTCGGTGCCAACGCCTGGGTGAGAAGTGCCCAAACTCTGCCCAGCGAGAGGAAGAGTTGCCTCGAATTAAGATCAAGGTCTCTGCGGAGACGGAGCTTGAAGGGGGCGGTGGGATTGAGGGGATCTGCGGTGGACCATTCTCCACCTGAACGAGAAAAGTTGCCTAAGAATGAGCTCGCCGCACTCGCATTCTCGAATGAAAGGGAAACCTTCTCCGACAAATCAAACGCCCTAACGATGATGCCCGAGCGAGACTGAGCAGGGGCGAAAGCAGCACGGCACCGCAGCGAGCAGCAGCGGTCGCGGGAAGCCTAGCAGCACGAGCTTGCAGGCATCGTTCTGTTGGGTCTCACTGTTGCCCCTGCTGTCTGGGCGGGTGACTGCTCCCCGCCTGGAGCCCTGCGGAGGCGGCCCTGCTGCCGCCTGCGAGCTCGCAAATTCCTCGATCCTCTTGGAGGCAGCCGCCTGGGCGCTCTGGAGCTCCAGCAGCTGGTTCGAGATCTGGTCGCACTTGTGGTCGAGGTGGGCGGTGGCGGAAGAGACGACTTCGCCAGAGCCTGTGTCCATGAACTGGTGACTGGCTGCGAACTCCGAACGCAGGGCCTCGATCTTAGCATCTTGCTCTCGGCCCGCCTGAAGGGGCTGACGCTGTAGATCTTCATGACGACGGCAAACGTCCTGGCCTAAGAGGGTGACCTGGTCTGCAAGTAGTCCACAGCGGTTGAGGCTGCCCTGAACCGACGCACGCAAGTCTTGGACATCCTCATGATTCTGGAGTAGCATCTGGTGCATGCTAGCCAGGGAACCACCGATGGTTTCTAATTGTTTTGCGATGTGGCCTTCTTTCTCCTCAGGATCCCATCTCGAACGAGCCTCCGGTGTCCTGCTGGCGGAGCGACGGGAAGGACTCGACGACGATGACCTCCTGCGACTCCCGCGGCGCGACTTTCCCCCCATCACGGCCGAGGAAATGGTTCGCGCACTAAGTCACCGCGTGCTTTGGCGCACGACTGGAAAATATTGTGAGGCCTAACCTCAGGACGCTCGGGCCAACCCCTTGGCAGCGTCCAAGCTCGAAGCGCCGGGGCAACGTTTCGAACTTGAGCCAAAAATGGCTGCGGATTTTCTCCATCTCACAGAGTTGTTCAGTGATTGTATCGTTCAGGATTAAGTTGAAGAGGTCGACGCTGAGGTTCCTTCAGATGTTGAGTCGGTAATTGATGAGTGGCCTGAGGGTGGGGGGTCCATGAATCCACGAGTCGTGTCTCTGTGCGCGTGCTGCCCCTGTGCGTTCGACTGCTGGTGACCCCAGCAGGGCTCGGGGAGGCACTGACAAACATGATGAGCCGTCGTTGCGGTCTCAGCGTCGCGAGTTTGACTTCTAGGATCTAACTCGCCTGTCCGCCGCAGTTGGCCAATGAGCTCCCCCCTGCGATCGCGCGCCCTGCCGGCTCGAGGGGGCGACCCTGGATGATCCTTCTCTCGGCGTCGAGCCTGAGTTCTATGTGTCTCAGGTTGGCGTGCCAATCGGTCATCCATTTGCTTTCGGCAGTGTGCGGAAGAAGAAATGCATCCTTTGCTTCTGTCATCTGTAGCATCTTGGCTCAAACCCAAGCCAGTCCCTCCCATCAATTCTTGATGCTCTACATGGTCCGGCGCGTTGAGACATCCATTCTTGGCCGCCGCGGCATCGAGGGGCAAGGCGGCCCCGGTCGAGGCGCAGGCTGCAAGTTCGCGGCCGAGGAGGTCTGCCAGTCCTCCAAAACACGGCAGGCCTCCATGCGCGATCAGGTGCGTGCTGGGGGAAGCGAGCGGCGGCGTCTCTGTGGGCGCAGGCGCTCAAGCGTCGGCAGCGGCAGAATGGGGAGCAGGAGCTGGCCAACGTTCAACGCATTTGTCGTCGGCTTGTGCGCGATCGGCCTGGTGGTGTGCATCGCCTCCATCTGCCTGTTCGGAGCGCCAGTGACGAGGAATGGGCCGCGGTGGTGGAGCAGGCTTCTGTTGCGGGGCGGCTCCATCGCAACATGAGGGAGGGGCCTCCGCCAGCGCTGCAGCTGCATGAGGGCTCGAGCGTCGTGGTGCATCCCGGGGATTCGAGGCGGCGCGCATGGCGGCCGAGCTGGGGCCGATGGGGCCCATCGCCGAGCGGGGCACTTGGCGCGCAGCTCACGCCATGAAGGCCAGCGCTGGCCTTGGCGCGCGTCGGATGGCGCCGATCGACGTGGAGCGGCTGCCGTCGGACGCGCTCGAGGAGCTGGCCGAGCTGCTCAACTCGGCCGGGCGGGCACTGGCGTGGCCGCGCCGGGCGCGGCCCATCGTCGGCGAGCTTCTTCCGAAAAAGCTGAGCGGTGATCGCGCTATCAGTCTGGCGTTCTCCTCGGGGCGGATGTGGTCGCTCGTCGGGGAGGAGTCGGTCAGGCAGTGGTGCAACCTTGTGGGGTCTGAGGTGGGCACTGCTATTGCTGGTGACGCTTCCCTCGGGGGGGCGTTCCATCGGGCGCTGCAGAAGGAATTTGCAGGGGCCTTGGGGGCTCCTCGTGGGAACGGGTCGGTGGATGTGAAAGGAGTATGACGATTCTGAATGGGACATCTCGGTTGATGTTGCATTGGAGCTTGAATTTCCGCCAATAGTTTGAAATCTTGAACTGTGCCAGTGTGTGGTCCCCTGTGCTGTTGAACAAATGGGAGCCGTGAGTGGGCCCTCTCTGGCTATTTGCAGCAGTCTCCAACTCTGGAACGCGATGTGTAAAGTGCTTGACTCATCGTGCCATGGCCGAGGTCAGTGGATCCCATCAGCGAGTTTCTCATCGATTGTGGATCGACGATCCATCGCAAAATTTAGCTGCTTCCAAACAGTGTGTTGTGGGGTCTTTATCTCGGTGTTTAGCGGATGCTGCAGACGAGCTAAAGAAGGTGAAATTCCAGAGAGCTCCGAAGTCGTGTGTCGCATGTCCTCATCGTGGCGGTGCAAGGGAGATCGTTCGGCGGATGAGGAAGCGTGGCTACGCGGCGCATGCGCAGCTGCGGGCTGGCTTTCTGGGCATCGACCTGGGAGGCGGGGGGCGCGCGGCGACGGGGGCGAGGGCCGAGCGGGGGTTCGAAGCTCGAGCGGCTCGGCGCCCGGGCTGCGGGGGTGCGCGGGCAGGCAGTTCGCGGCGCGCGCGGGCTGAGGCCGCAGGAGCGTCGGCGGGGCCTTGCCGCAATGTGCAGCGCTGGGGGGAACGGGGCGCGAGTCGCGTCGCTGCTGTCGGTGAGGGCGCCAGGCCAGGATCCAGGTGCCAAGCTGACGCATGGCGCGGTGGCGCTCTGGCTCCAGCAGTGGTTTGCCCACCCTCATATTCGGCCGTCGGTGGGCCGTGCGTGGCCCAGGGTGCTTCCGGGGATGGGGGCCATGCCGCCGTCTAGGCGGTCCAGATGGGCTCGTGGGCCCATGTCCGCCACAGTTCTGGCGTTGCTGGAGCGCGGCTGGTGCCCGGAGACCCCCGCCAAGTGGCACTTGTCGGATGAGATTGTGTGGCAATTCCCTCAGGGGGTCTATCATGGCAGCCTTTTTCGTCGATTTCGATAATGAAGTCTGCAGCAGCGCATTATTGGCCGAAAGCGTCGGCGCATTTCTGTGGCAGTGGGCTTCGGGATGGAGTGGGCATCTTTACGCTGTGGTGGCTGCTCAAGTACACCGAGGCCTTCCGACGAGGGCGGCGGCTGGCCGGTGTCATGGCCTCCATCGCTGCTGGTGGACCATGGCCGCGGGAGCGACGGGCTGCAGCTGCCGCCAAAGCTCGAACTGTGTCAGATTTGCCCCACGTGTCGTCTACATGTGGAAACACCTCATCATCGCAATCGGGGTTGTGAAAATAATATAGGTGCTGAAGCTTACCGTCGGTCTGATGAGCTCCTTCCGCCTGCAGCGTCGCAACAAGAATGTGATCATGCCTTCTGGTTGAGGGGGCTCATCCCTCGCGCGTGGACTGAGGTTACGGCCCCGAGTGATCAGGCGGCATGCTGTGGCAGCGGAGCTTTCTGAAATGGAGTGTCCGACAATATCCTTGGGCCAGTTTCTGCATCACAGTCATTGGTTTTGTTCGGCGACGCTTCTGGGGGCCCTGACTCGAATGACCCTAGATTTCGGCGAGTCGGATGTGATATTGTTTCTGTGTAGCGAGAAGGGCATGACCATCCAAGGAGTGGTGACGGGCCCGCTGCCAGGCACCCAGACGGTGCCGAAAGGTGAGCTCTATATGATGTGGATGACACTCCGTTTGTCGGTTGACCACATTGTGTACATCACCGACAATCAGTCAGTTTACGACGGATGGTACGATAACCAGTATCTAGCACCCCGCGGCGAGTCGGCCGAGCTCTGGGTTCGGATCGGAGCTGCGCCATTTTGCTGCCGAGAGCGTTGTGCTGTTATTTGCCAGTTTACATTTGACGGTGGCGGCGGCGGAAGCGCAGGTTCCCAACTGGCTCGTGGAGGGGATCGCCATGGCAGATGTCGTGGCAGGCGAGGCGGCTGCAGCAACGCGCCTCCCTCAGGCCGAGAGGGCCCGAGTAGGCCAGGTCGGTCGAACATCGCGCCTTTCTGGTGCGAATGGGGCTGCTGCGGGCGGCCATCGACAAGATGACGGCGGAGGAGGCCCTCGCGAGGGCTCAGAAAAGGGGGACGACAGCGTGAGCAGGGTTATGAATGAGGATGGTAGTGGGCCCCCCTTCCCTCCCCCTCCTCCTCCTCCTCCTCCTCCTCCTCCTCCGCCTCCTCCTCCTCCTCCTCCTCCCTCTTGCCCAATTTTCCTGGCCCCCGTCGTGCCCCGAAACCGTGTCCATCCTGTCCAGTTCCCATGCGCTGGACAATTCGGGGCGTCGGTGCCGCAGGTGTAGGGGCTCTGCGTCGATCTCTGAGGTTCGTCGGTGGAGGGCGTCGCCGTGTTTCGAGCTCGTGGCGATCGACGGTTCGTTGAGAACCCTTCCCCAGGGGGCGGAGTTGCACATCGCTGGGGGGTGGGTGCGTGGGTCTCACAAAATGAAGTATACTCAGGATGTCGATGTTTGGTTCTGCTCTGTGTGTGGAATGTCTGGGGATCTGCCACCCCGACCAGAGCTGCGTATCTCAATCGAATTCAGAGGGGTATGTGGCCCAAGGTATATCGTGCAGCAGAGAAGGCCAAGAGGGCACCGAATGGGGCTCTCGTGTTGATCTCGGAGGTTGGACATTGTCCAGAGACTCTTATCTTACTCTTACTCCTCCTCCTCCTCCGTTGCCCTCCTCCAGGTCTGGATGGCCGGGGCAAGGCGCAGAGGGGCAGAGTCGGCCAACCTGGACTTCAGACCAGGGGCGATCGAGAACCAGAGGCAGGGAAGAAGGAGGCCCCTCGTCCTGCCGCTCCTCCTCCTCTCCCTCTCTCCCCGCCTCCTCCTCCTCATCTCCTCCTCCTCCTCCTCCCTCGCCTCCTCCTCCTCCTCCTCCTCCTCCTCCTCCTCTCCCCTCCCTCTCGGGGAGACAGGAGGAAGGAGACGGGAGAAGTACGATGATGGCGAGGAGGAGCGATGAGGACAGTGAGGGTCATACTGAGCCCAGCGCGCATCATTGACGGTGCCATACGCCCTCCCGTCCGCAGTCGCCGCCTCACAAGGCAATGCGAACATTGTTCTTGCTTGTGACGCAAGGCCGTCGGTAACATGAGGGCTCCGTTGGCTTGCGTGAAATCCTACTCGGTGCTCACATGCTCGTGGACAATTCACTTCGTACTCGGCCAGGGGGGGTCGCCCTCCGATAAGGTGTGTGCGGCCACCCATGCGAGAGGATTCTCAGAAGAGGCGCTATCCATACAAGTATTCAAGTACATGGTACAAATGGTTTCATTCACGCACCCAAGCACGAATACATTCAGAAAACAAGCCGCGCTCGACCTGCGAATCGATTACCCATTCAAACATGTGGTCTCAAGCTAAGACCAGGTGTCGAAATCGAGCCACGCCCATCCGCGCAACTAATTGTTGATTTGGAAGGCTTCGCGGCCGTTTGGAACAAGGATATACCAAACAATAGGCGCTGTTTGAACGCAATGCGCACTCCACAGGAACCCACACACGCTAACTATCCTGTAAGCATGGGCCGCCCCCCCATCCGTCGAAGTCCCATAACTGCAGAGCCTGGGGACCGTAGAACCGTAGAAGCCCGAAACATGTGCGTGGTATGGAGCGAACGAAAGATATCGAGCGTCGCTGGCCCTTTCCGTGGGGGAATTTCTTGGGATTTCACGCTTCAACTCTATACCATGTGAGCAAGTCTGAAGCGACACGCCCTTATCGCCCTACCGATGTACCTGGTGGTGAACCAAGGGGACTTACAGTAAGAAGGCGAGGGAATCGAGGAGGAGATGGCGGAATATGGAGAGGATGAGGTCGGGATGGATGAAGAGTAAGGTGTTTGTGATGGCAGCGGCTCTGATGATGACGTTGGTGATGATGCTGATGATGCTGATAGTGATGGATGGTGATGATGCTGTTGCTGATGGTAAAGGTGATGAGGATGCTGATGCTGATGCTGATGCTGATGATGATGATGATGCTGATGATGCTGATGACGATGACGATGACGATGACGATGACGATGATGATGATGATGATGATGATGATGATGATGATGATGATGATGATGATGATGATGATGATGATGATGATGATGATGATGATGATGATGATTATGAGGATGAGAGATGGCTGCGATGATAACAGCTATGTTCATGACAGGAAAGAGAAGAATAATGAAGATCAGCAGGAGGGGGAGGAGCAAGGAAAGGATAAAGGTGGTAAGGGCGAGGGAGATTGTGAGGAGGAGGATCACGAGAAGACTAAACAGAAGTAGGGATGATTGGCAGAAGGGAGAAGGAGCAGACCGGAGGAGGCGTGGGAGGATGACTGGGAGGATAATCGGGGGGTGGAAGGGTCGAAGGAGGGGATCGGAGGGAGGCGGGGCGGGGGAGTGAAAGGGCAAGGGGAGAGAGCGGGTGAGGGGGATGGAAGGGGGGAAGTCGAGAGGCTGAAGACCAGAAGGGGGCAGCGAGGTCAGAGGGGAGGGCAACTGGGGCAGGGGGAGGGAGGTGCAGGGGAAGGGGGGGCACATTGGAAGGAAGGTAGGGCAGAGGGCAGGGGGAGGAGGTAAAGGAACGGAATCAGTTGAGAACCGCATCGAGCTAGGTCAGACGAAAAGGAGGACGTGGCAGGGAAGAGGGGCGGATGGGGAGATCGTTATCAGAGGAAAGGGAATGGAGCGACGATGGGCAACGACGGGCGGGCGAGGCACGGAATAATGATGTCAACGAAAGAAGGCGGGAGAAGGGCGGGCCCAAACCCGCCTCACTGTGAACAGAACTGTCAAGACCGGCAAGATGTACGGGTCCCAAGCCGCCAATCCCGCAATGGGGTCGCAAGCGCGCGGCTCCTTCTGTACCCTCCGCCTGCGCCCTTCCGCCTCTTCCCTCTCCTCCTCACCGTCCGTCCCTCCCTTCTCTCCCCGCCGCTGCTCCTCGACCCCCTCCAACTCTTCAACGTCCTCGTCCTCGTCCTCGTTCTCCTCCTCCTCCTCCTCCTCCTCCTCGTCGCCCTCTTCCTCCTCCTCCTCCTCCTCCTCCTGTCGCTGTCGCTATAGGCACTCAGGCCCTGTACTATGCTGTCCCCCCAGGCTGAGAGGGGGTAGATCATAACGTGTCGCCACAAGTTACGACGCACACGAGGGTGGGCGCGAAATGCCCGTCGACCGTGGTTTGTTATTTAGGAATGATAAACCTAGATTCGTCATGTTCAGATGATACCCCCATTGGATTAGTGGCCTGTGGATGGATCGGTGGCGCCCCCCCTCCCCCGATCATTTTCATTCCGGAATAATGCATCAGGGGTCGATATCCCGACATAATGAACCAGGGTTGATCCCAGCCCAATCTCCTTGTCAAGCCCTCCGCCGGATCATCATCATTCTGGAACAATAAATAGGAGTTTATTATTCCCAGAACTTTATGAACCCCAGTTTATGATATTCTAGAAATAACGGACTAAGGACAATATTCTGACATAGTGAATCCCAATTTGGAAGCGCGGGGTTGGAGGAAACTAATAATGATAATCATTCTGCAATCGTGAATCCGGATTCAGAATATCCGCCTATGGCTCAGGCGACGCCCCTCAACTTCCATTATTATCATTCCACAATAATAAACCGGGGTTTATTATTCCGGAGACAATATTCCCAGAACATTCTGAACCCAAATTAATACTTCGTCACCACGTACGACAGGGGTACCCCCTGACCAGACATCACAGTGCCACCACACTGGAACTGGCGCACCCCGCACTGGGGACATGCTGGCAAGCCAGCCCCCAGTGCCACACGGTGTATGGGATATCAACGCCACCTTCGTGCACGGGCTGGAAGCCACCATGGTCACCAACACTGGCTCCATGCTGCTGGTAGGCGCACGCAACCGCGCTGAACCAACAGCACTACAGGTCTAGGGCTCGCCCTACCCAACGCCAGGTGGGTGCGCCTGTAGACTACCATTCAGCGCCGCTCCAGGGTAGGAGCGAAGGGGCTCGGAATCCGCGGCACTCGAGCCCAAAAGGCAACGGAACGCTCCTCGGTGCCTATAATGCCTGCCCATCAGCGATGTTTATTGCAATTCCCTCAAACAGTGCTCACACACGTTCGCAGTGCAACCACACTGCCCATCAGCCGCACCATAGCGGATGGGCTGGCCGCCCAAAACAGCGGATGGACCTGTACACCCTAAGCCAAACAACACGAGAGCGGTCCACACTTGCGCTGCCTGGGAACAAATGCTCCAGGGGCCAAACCTGCACCGCGCACCACTGTGTTGCGGCACCATTGCTTCTGAACAGGATGGGCACCGCTGGCTATGAGTACCGTCCAGGCACCATCCGAGATCCCACCGCCAGCACCGTCAAGGCAAAACCGGGGTCGACCCCCCTTTTGGGTTAGCAGCGGCATGCTTCCGCTCATTTCCGCCGAGACCCCGCCGCCGGCACGCGCCCCCAAAGCCCTGGGTGCTGCAACCACTTTCTCCGCCAATGGCTCTTCAACTTGTGCCTGCGGTCATGCGAACCATGCGGTCATGCGTGAACCAGAACAGTACTGCGAAAAGCCAACCCAGGGGATGAGTAGCTGGCCCTGTGGCCACCCTAACCGGGGAGGAGAACGACGAAACGGCGACGACAGAGGACTACGACAAAATCTGAAGTGAAGGACCCGTGGAGTGATGGAGTGGAAAAGGTCAAGGTGGCAATAGGGCGAAAGCGTGGCGATGCGGCGGTGCTACGGCGATGGTGTGGCGAGGTAGGCGGCGTGGGGCCCCCCGTCGAAAAGGCTCCCTGTCCCATCCAGGCAGGGCCCCCCAGTTCGCCGAGGCGGGCTGAGGGTGCTCAGAAGTGCGACGGGAAGGCGTTCCAGGAGATGCCCATCGGCGGAGGGGAGGTTCACGCCATCCCGTGGCAGCGGCGGCGGCGGCGGCTGTAGCCCCCCTCCTCTACCCCCCCCCCGATTGAAGACGTTTGGCGGCGTCGTGCACTTGGGTGGTGGCGGCCACGAAGGAGACTGCACGGGTGGCATAGTGAGAAGTGGGTGGAGCAAGAGTTGGTTACCGGTGGGCGCGGGCAGCGAGGCTACGAAAGGAGGTGGGGCGGTGCGGAGGCTGAGCGCGGGGGTCGGCTTTGGGCCGCGGCCAGGACGGCCGTCAGCGCACTTTCCTCCTCGCCCAACCTCCCAACATCTCGTCCCCCCCCCCCCCCCCCTCAGAGTGCAAGGGTGCGGCGGCGGTGTGATTGATTGGCGGCGCCCTCGAAGGAATCTGCGCAAGTCGAGGGGGTGCGACATGAACAGAACAAGAGTTGGGGACAGCGGCCCTGGTCCGCGCAGCACGAGGGGAAGCGGGGCTTGATGAGAGTTGAACGTGGTAGGCGGCCGTGGGCCGCGGTCGCCCTGGCCCTAACCAAGACGGCTGGCGGCGCGCTCTCTCCTCGTCCCTCCCCCCACCCGCCCAACAAATCCCATCCCCTACATCCTCCGCGCGAGCTGGAGAGGCTGAAAATGAGCGGAGTAGGAAGTCGGTGGGCCTGTGCGGGGATAGGGCGTGCAAGTTGGTAGGTGAAGGCTGGGTGTGTGGGCTCATCAGCGTCGTATCAGTAGGTTGGCGATCTGTTCGGCAGGCTGACTAGTGGCGTACTGGTATGATGATGCCCACGTCGAGGTTCGGAATACATGGAAATCTTGCCAATTGAACTCGGTCGGTAAGATATCGTTGCAAGTCGTGAGGGTTCTCGCCGTGATAATAGGGGTCGGAGCTGAAGAGGAAGCTGCGTCTCGTGGAGTGTGGTCTACCCCAGCTGCGTGTCCTCACTTCGCTGCTAGAAGGAGGTCGGGGTGACGCTGCCGTAGATGATGAGGACTCTGGCTGTGGTGGTAATTGGGGGTCGGAGCTGACGAGGAAGCGGTGCGGCGCTGACGGTAGAGGCGCCCAAGCTGCGTGCCGTTGGGTCGTGTCCACTGCTCCTGCTGTTCTGCGACGGTGGATGCGTGCTGGTTGAAACAGTGAATGCCGAGGTGTGGGTTATTGGTGCGGTGATTGCTGGACCGAGTGGTGGGTGCCCGTCGTGGTGGGAGCAAAATTGGTAAGGATTGGGAGGTGTCGCGTGGGACAGCCCTCCTCATGGGCAGGCCCAGTCGTAGGCCTCTGATTGTAGCATCCGCCCCAACGCCTGTGGAGATATTGTGAGGAAGGGTACATGCAATTGCACCTCGACGTGGCTGGTCCATGCCACGGGCCTGCGCGCTGCATGGTGGACGGGGTTGCGGATGGCCGACGTCCCCATGCTGGCGGGGTGCGTAAACTGTTGTAGTTTCGCTTCCGTTGGGGGGATGAACTGGCTTCCTGGCAATTCTTCTGGGCAAGGGTCGGTGGCGTATACGTGTCATAATAGTCGGGGCGCGCTCGACGTGGTGGTATCGATGAAGGAGCCGTAGCCGTGGTATTGCTCGTTCTCGTTGAGGTCGTCACCCGCCGCCCTATCCACTACGATGATTGCTGGGGGTCAGGGATCATGCTCTCGCTAGGGTAATCGATGTGTGTGGTGATCTAGGATTGTGCTGCCTGCCTGCCTGCTGCCCCAGCAATGAAGATAGGCCATTCAGAAACTGACGAATGATCGAACATTTCGCCGGACCCGTGGCCGCGATAATAGCGAGCCAAAGAGCTCGGCCCACGAACGGCGGACAATTCGGGGTGGGCCCCCCGGCCGTCTGGGAGGCCACGGGTGGCCCCAGGGCTGAGAATTCCGAGCGGCGGGGGTGGCGATTCAGACTGGTCAAGGGCACCCTGTGGCGACCCCGGGCCATCCTAAGGCGCCCCCGAAACGCTCGGTTTCGCCTGGCCGAAGGCCGACACTCTCGTCTCACTCGCCCTGCGTCCCCCCGCGCCTCCTCCTCCGAAGGCGCCCAGGGCACCGCGAGGGAGGCGGCGAGGGGGGGCGGCGAGGAGGGGAAAACGATTAAGACCATTGTTTCGGTACGAACCCGCGGCGGCGGCGGTGCTCTAGTCGTCGTCGCCGTCGCCGTCGCCGTCGCCGTCGCCGTCGCCGTCGCCGTCGCCGTCGCCGTCGTCGTCGTCGTCGTCGTCGTCGTCGTCGTCGTCGTCGTCGTCGTCGACAAGGTTCCTCCTCCCCACTTTCTCCCTCCCCTATCCCTCCCGCGTTATTCCCGCCTTATTCCCTCCTCCCTCCCTCCCCTATCCCTCCTCCGACCAACATGGAGGTTTATCAAACACGAATAATACAGAACTCTCCACCAATGAACGTCGTGCGCTGCACCGCCTGAATTCCCCGTGAAAGCGCATGTCAAGAAAGGAAATCCAAACGATCACCGACAAGGGCCAGCCACTTTCAAGGCAAACGTAGCTGCTTCTGTAATGTGCGCACTGCGGACATCGCCACCCGCGCGCGGGCGCACGCGCGTCGTACGCTGCACCGCCTGGTTGACACGTGACACTGCGTCTTAATTTGGAAGTCGAATCGGCGACCGCTAAAATATCACTTTCGCCTCAAGGCCGGCATGGCGCCTTGTCTAATGCAGACACGACGAAACTCTCCAACCGCGAGCGTCGTGCGCTGCGCCGCCTGGTTGACACGTGAAAATGGATGTTAACTAGGAAATCCAAGCGGTCACCGATAAAGCCACCTTTAGTACCCAGGCCATCCAGGCGACCTTTTAATGTGAGCGCTACAAAACCCGCCACCCACGCGCACGTTGTCCGCTGCACCGCGTGGTTGACATGTGAAACTGAATGTTAACCTGGAAACCCAATCGGTCACCGCCAAAGGATCCCTTGAGCTTCCATGTTAATACGTAACTTTCCTGTCGCGACCACAACTGAACTCGCCACCCGCGCGCGTGTACGCACGTCGTACGCTGCACCACGTGGTCAACATGTGACAACGCATGTTTACTTGGACAACCAACCGGACACTGGTACGGGGCCGTTTTTCTTTCCCATGCCACCGTGATGACTTAGCCAATGTGATGAGCACTGCGGAAACCTCCACGCGCGTGCGTCGTGCACTGCGCGGCGTGGTAGACGCGCGAACGTGCGTGCTACCTTGGACGCCCCGCGATCACCGCAAAATGACGCTTGCCTCCATGCCAACATGGCGCCTTTTCAACGCGAGCACTACAGGACACTCGCCAGCCACGCGCGTCCGCGCGCCGTGCGCTGCACCGCTTGGTTTGAATTTGGGAACGAAGCTGACTGTGAACCCTCATCACTCTCTCTGCCGTGCGGCCTTGCTCCTGGTGGGACGCGGCGTAATGCTGCCCCACTCCTGGTAGGGCGCGGCAAATCCAGCGGGGGTCGGAGGGGGGGGCGGAGCGGCGATCCCCCCTGCGACGCGGGCGCGCTCCTGTCAATCAAAACGCGTCAGATCAGATCGGCGCTCAGCAACGCAGGGGGTCCATGAGCGGCTCATGTGGCAGCCTGGCTGGCGCTGTCCACGCAAGGTGGTAAACTTCGTCATGCCATGCTGGCGCGGCTCTCGTGGGAGCTGGATGCAGCACTTTGGCACGTTGTCGCGCGCAGGGGCCCGTGCTCGTCGCGCAGTGCCGGAGGTGGGCCTGAGCCCGGACAGCGGCGCTGGGGTCTCGGCGTCGCGCCCCTCTGCGCAAGCCGAGGGCGGCCCGCGCAATCTCATGGTGGGATCGCGCCAGTTCCAGAACCAGCCCACCTGCAGTTCGCCAGATGTAGTGTCATCCCAGTGTCGTGAGGTGGAACAGACGGAGGTTCCCGCGGGTGCGGCTGCGGGTGCGGCTCGTGGGGCTCTTGCGAGCAATCTCTCCGCCGGGTGCATGACGATGCCGAAGCGTGCTGTTTGCGCAGGTGGGCCGCCGCCGCGCGCCATGGCG